TGTATGTATATATATATATATATATATATATATATATATATGGCTAAAAATGATATTGTATCGAAATCATAATGGAAATTATCTTTGCGGGAATAACAAACTGCTTTAGAAGAAATGGTCATGTGGCCGAAAATAATATGATGGCGTCAATGCATTGAAAACCAGAATACCCGTAAATGTATGCATTCTTATTCGAATAAGCTTTAAAAGAAATGACCACATGGCTTATCCAAGCGAAATCAAATTGAATACCACGTATTTCTCACTCAAAAAAGTAACACTTTTAAAGAAATGACCATATGGTGATGATATTTCATATGGTGCTTACCCGAATAACTGTTAAATTAACAGCCATTCGAAAATAATATCGTGGCATAATCGTATTGAATATAATTCTTACCCAAATAATTAACTACTTTTCAAGAAACGACCAAATGGCTATAAATAATATTGAGGCATAAATAAATATGATTATTACTGGAAAAATCGTTTTAGAAGAAATAATCGCATTTCATATCCTGGCGTAATCACATGGAATATGAGTCTTGCCTAAATAATTAACTAGTTTTAAAAAATGGCAATATGGCTTAAAATAATACTGCTGTATAAATATATTAGATACTCTTCGTGTTCGTATAACTGCTATAGAAAAAGCGACTTTATGACTAATCATGATATATTATCATATTGAATGTCATTTTTTTAAAAATATTTAATCATATTGGATATCATAATAAGCTATTTTTATTAAGAGACAATATCGTGGTTTATCTTTAACATGATCCTTAATTGAATAACTGCTTTAAAAGAAATAACCCATCGGCTAATCGTAGCTTAATGATATTGAATACTGAATATAAATCTTACCCGAATAACTATTTTTAAAGAAATTGTTATAAAAAAGGGAAAAATAATATTGTATCGTAAATATATCAAATAGTATTCTTACTCGAGTAACTATTTTAAAAGAAATTGTCAGATGGCTAAAGATAATATTTTTTTGCCAAAAGAATTTTTTTTCTAGATTTTTAATTGCAACTGAATAATAAATTTTGGAATAAAAAATGATTATATGCCTGTAAGCAATTTCATAATGTAAAAATATTGCACATGATTTCCATTCTGAATAACTGCTTTATAAAAAAAATAAAAAATCCGAACAGCAAAAAATAATGTAGCACGCATAATAACGACAGTATATAAAATAATGCAGCTAAAAACAAACATTTCGAAACGTAAAAATTTTGAATATTAAAATAAATGAATATCGATTTCTCTATAGCAATTATTAATAAGCCATTCTATAGTAAATAGGTCGAATTTTTGTGTAAAATTAATTTTCCATTTCCTCTTCTTCTATAGTAATAATATCGAATAAATAATTATTTAATTACTTTTTAAATTTTAAGTTAATATTAAACAACTGCATACTTTTTTTTATCGTTTTAAAGTTACTAAACATTTTTCAAGAAAACCAAAACTAACATAGTCAAACTACTTTAGTCATTAAACATTTTTAGTTGAACAAATATTCGAGAAAAAAAGCAAAAAAGTTAACGGTTTGATAAAAGCCGGCTATTTTAGAATTAAGTTTTTTAAGAATAAAATGCGGAAACATTTCCAATTAATAATTTCTATTAATATGATTTTTTCCCTTTTTGGTGGGCAGAGGTGAGGGGAGCAGATCTTCCTGTTTTAACACCATTATAATTCTGTTTTATTTTTTATTTCATTGCAAATTTTCAAGCTCGCTGCTGTAGTCAAAACATAAAGAAGATAGTATTGGCATCCCATTGGTTGAGAGTTGAAATCCTCGGACGGCGCTGCGACTACAAGATTTCTCACCTTCGTATAAACGTTTTGGCTATAATTGGCGAATAATCGCTTCTTATAATCGCTTGAGGCTCAACATTTTGTTAGCACTCTCTACAGTTTGCACAATGTAACAAAAACGATCAAAATATTATTTATGCGTTATAAAGTTCACTTCGATTTCAGTTTAGTTTTAATGACATTTCTTTCTCAAACTAAAAGATTTTTGAGAGTTAGATCAATCCTTTTGTAAATATAATAAACAAAAAGTGTTTTTATTAATTTTTATAAATTTACTTATTTTATTTTTATTTAGTTAAAAGTTTTTCCATACGCTTGAAAAAATGTGTATAAAAACGCTTTGACTAAGAATTGAGGTACAAAGATTTTATTTCCTTTAAAGAAAGAACGAAATGGGGGAAAAAATCCTTTGTAATAACTTAACGATATTACTATTTAAAATTTGCTTAACTATTTAAACTAACTATTAAAACTTAACTTTAACTTAATTAAACTTAACTATTTAAAATTTGCATAAGCTGCTAACGGGAGGAGAGGGGTTTGTGATTTACTTATTTTTACTAAAAAAGGGGAGGAGTATTAACTATAATCACTTAAGAAATTATAATCCCTAAATTTAAAAACTTTTTTTTTCGAAAATTCAAAAAAAAAAAAAATTAACAAAAAAATATGAAGGAAAAAAAATATACACTTGAAGAAATAAACTTGAAATGAAAGTAAAGTTTGGAGAAAGAAAGTGTTTTAAAAATGTTTCCTCTATGAGTTTCAGGGACTTAAAATTAGAAAATTAATAATTGTCAATAGTTAAAGCAAAAACAAGGGGAAGGAAGGGTTGTGGCTTTCTTACGTAAGCAGGGAGGAATTTGTGGTTTTCTTATTTTTTGCTGACAAGGGATGAGGGGTAATTCAAGATTGTCAAAACCTTGCCTACGTAATATTTGAATGAACTACCTTTATACAAATTATTTTGACATTATTTTGCAAACATTTTATACAAATGTAATTTCATTTTATGTAAGTTTTTAATTAGGAAATAATTTTCTTTTAAAACGAAAGTGGCGATTTTTTGAATTGTGATTAATTTAATTGAATTTTGGTTAAATTATGCAATTTGAAAACGAGTATTGAAATCAGCACCAAAAGATATGAACTCTTTTCAAACTTAATTTTTTCGTAAGCTTGAAAGTATATATTCCTTATACCATAGAGATGTATAGGTAGTAGGCTAATTGTATAGTTATACAGCCGCAGACATTTTGCGATGAGCCAAGCTAAGTGAAAAAGTCACCAATCTTTTCTTTCCGACACTTTATAGACTTATTGCTGTGAACTCATATTCATGTAGGCTTATTAGAACACACGTTCATTACTCAATTGCCTCTTTAATTTCAAGTTTCAGTTTCCAATAAATCCGTGTAACGAAGGGAACTTACTGGACTATTTAAAGGCTTATTACTTTTTCAGGCTCTTACACTATATCACTATCCTAAAATCACGACGCTCACAATATTCTACACTCTAAAAGCAATTTTATTTAACATACATACATTGAATAAAATCTGATTAAAAGGATAGCAGTTCTTGTAAAAAAAATTTCTTTCGTCCCCCACTTGTTGCTTCTTCAAAGAGAAAAAGCTCTCATCATTTGGCGACAAACTCGGAGAGTTGGCGATAAAAATCCATCCCTTTTCAAAGACAACGCCGAATACCGGTAAACCTATAGATAACCTCTCTTCTTCCTCCAGTTCGGAAGAAAACTTGTTTCGTGAGTAAGCGACGCAAACTTTCCTGATCCAATGGACTGTTTACAATTCGGATTCGCGTCGTGGACTATTCTTTTCCTTATGAACTTTTAAAAGATCAATTCCAAATACACTGTTTAATGTTTAGTGTAGTTAGAACTATGTGGACTATGGTGATTGTGCATCGGTAACCGACCAAAAATTATTTGCCCCGTTATTTGATGATCGCTGGTTTAGTGTTTCTTTGGAAAACATGCAATGGATTATACTTATGTCTTGTCTGCTGGCCCTGTTGGAATCAATGCCAGTAGCAGTGTCCGGTGCTCGTCTTGCTGACATCTACTGGAATTCATCTAATCCAATGTAAGTCTTCTATTCATATTTGTTTACAATGAATGTCCTAGATAAATACTAATAAGAAGACATATTTTTATAAGGTACACAACTCATAAAATTACTTTTATTGATAAAAGAATTTCTACTTAATTATATATGTTATCGTTTGAAGAATAAAAAAGAAATATTCCTTGACTTTATAAAAGAGCAAATTTAAAAGAATAATAAGTTAAATTAATTTAATAAATTTTTATTACTTTCTGAAAGATTAAAAGGAACTTAACTTATAGGATTTAAAGGATACATTAATTTGCTTATTAATAATTGATAAGCATTACTGTTACAAAGAAGTAATATGTAATCGTTTGAAGGAACAAAAAAGGAATTTTATTAGGTTTTATGTCTGACAAAATAAGAATTTTAATTACTTTATCTAGCGAATTTTTCTCATTTAAACATTGAAGGAAATGGTATTTACTATTAATAAATAAAAGAACTGCCTATTTGTTGTGAACTTTTGATTCGAATAGGAAAACATTTTACCATTAACGAACTCCTCTTATTAGTGGTTTGGATAACATAATAAAACGCGCTATACACAAAACGAAGCTGCTATACGCACTATTGCTTGCTATATTCTTAAATTAATTTATTTTTATCTCAATTTAATTTCATAGAATGTATGGTAAATCCAAATTAATAAAAATTTATTTTGAAGAAGTCTGTTGGAATAATATGTTAGTTCTATTACATCAGTTTTCGTTTTTGAGATGCATGGAATATAAATATGGTCAAGATCAGTAATTTTGTTAATAGAAATTTGTTTAATAAAAAATTTGCTTGTTACTTGAACATGGAGACTATCCACTTAATAAACAATTCACATTTTTCATATATTTTGTTGGATCTGATAACAGAGTAAGTAGTTCCCCATTAGTTGTTTGGAAATAGTATTTCTAAAAGTGTTCTTTGATGTTAATTTATTCCTCATTTTTTCAGTAAACGTAATTTTTCTTAAGAATTACGTAAGTTTTCTTAAAAATAAGCTTAAGTTAGAGTGCATTGTTTACTCAAACACTTTTTTAAGTCCAAAAAATATTCTAACATTTTACTTGTCCCCTATATTTCTTTTAATTTTACTTTTAGAAAGCCTGCAAATATTGCTCAATTTTTCTTATAGAATTATATAGTTTTGCAAAACAATTCTTGTTTTGTTATTTAAGTTAAGAAGTGTTTCAGTTTTTGCTTATCCTTTATCACAAAAATCAGCTTTATTTATTAAGTTTTTAATGATTTAGATTGGTTCTCCATAAAGAAGAATTTTTATTCATTTCGAAACTTAATTTTAACAATTATTTAATGATAAAACTATATATTTGAATTAAATATTTTGTAAAACATAAAAACTGTTATAAATATTCTGTTAAGTTCTTCAATATTTTTTATATTTATAATTGATTCTTAAATCTAGTTTACCCTTATGCTTTGCTTTCATAAAAGAATGTTTCAAACATTAATAACATGCTTATTTTGGGAATATAAACTAACTTTTCTGTGATACATGAAACATTGATATTCTTGTTCAGATTTTTTTTAAAGTTCTTAAAATAATTTTAAACTATAACTTCAGTTTGAATAAAATGTTTATCTTAAAACTTAATGCTGTCTGTCTTCCTAACTTGTAGCTTATAGATTTGCAGTTTTAAACATGGACCAAGATTGTCAAATTTTGTTGATTTTATTAACTTCAAGAATTCATATTGTCACTTGAGAATTTTTTAGTCAAATGCATGTGAATAGGTTTTCTATATTCTTTTTTGTTATAAAATTATTTATAAACAACCATAGTTTAAAGTTATAACAATGAGTTTAAATATTTAATATGCTTTGATTTTCCCAAATTTCACCTATTCTAGGTTTTGCAGATTTTTTTAATGTTTTTATTTTTGAAGTAACAGTGCTTTTGAGATTTGCAATATTTACATTGATCACATGTGGTATATTCCATCTAATAATAATGAACTTCGAATCAATTGCTGTGTTCTAGTCTTAATTTTTAAAAGAGTGACTCATATTAGAAGCTATAGCTTTTTAATTTTAAGTTATAGATTATATCGAACAATGACTAATTCTAGTCTTAGTGTAAATCAAACTGATCATATATAAATGTTTTCTTTGGTAGATGGAGCATCTATTCTTTTTAATAAAATAGATTCTTAAAAAATAAAATAACTCAAATTTTAGGTTTCTCGGATTGTAGCAATTAATGGGAGATCTGTTAAATTTTATTTAGAAATGATATTTTATGATTTATGTACTGAGTCAAACAATTTTTTTATTTCAATTCCGCTGGATATATTTATTTGGGTTATTTGAAACACATTGTTTTTCGTGGTGAATATGTTTTTTCCCATTTTATGATACTCTAATTTGTTTGGTTTAAATTGATTTTTCAGTAATTTACTCATTTATGTTAAAACTTTAAATATTCTACTAAAATGTAGACTGAACTAGTAAAGATCCCATTATGAGAACTAACCCTCAAATAATTATGAAATTCAGTTTTAATCTTATGGAATATTATTAACTTACTCATTGTTACTATAGATGAATAATACTTTGATATACAATCCTTTTAAGTTTTAATCTTACAGACTATTAACTTACACATTGTTACTATTAATGAATTTCCCAACACATTATTTTAAATTCTACAAGACAATACTTTAAGCTGGCATTCTGAAGGGCAGTAATTTTGCAAAATAACATTTGCTTCTGACATTTCAGACAAATCATCTATGAAAAGAGGTGTTAACCCTTTACATCTTTTGATGGAGAGAAGACCATTATGATTTATGAACTGAGGTTTTGCAACCTCATAAACTGGGTTAGAACATCAACTTCTGTTGTCCTAGCCACTCCCCTCCTTTGTTGTGGTCAGCTGCTGTTGTATTTCACTTTCCCCCTATCTTTAAATCCAGGGAAATATTCATATTCTCTGTTGTTGTAAGTTAGGAATAAATCTGTTATTTCATCATATATTTATTTGAGTTTACATTATTCTCTTTTGTGAAGAATTCTATTTAATTCAAAAGACAGGGAATATCTGTGTGTTTGCTTTTGATTTCGCTGTGATGTTATTTGAATAGAAAGATTTTGAGTTCTCTTGTTTGATATTTTGAGAGTACATATTTATATTCTCCTGATTAAAAGGATGCTATTGTGACTGGATTTTATCCTCCTCTTTGTTTACTTTCTGGGCACCATGTTGTCTCCAAATTCTGTTCTGTGGAATGTTGCCAAATTGAAATGGCAATCCATTGGGACTTTCTCTTTGCCAGAACATCATATTCTTTTAGTTTAAAGCAAACATTCATTTCAACTCGCCAAAAAAATACATTCTAAAATTTTTTATTCGCGTTTTTTAATTAAAATTATGTAGTGAGGGAAAGAAATAATTTATATTAAAAAAAAGCGCTAGAATCTTCATTTTCTTTAATGAATGAATAATAAAGAAGATCATGTTAGCTTTTTTTTTTTTTCCTATCATGGTTAAGATATACTCATTTTTATTGTTAAAAGAAAAAACAACTTAACAACACTTAAGAATTAGAATGTTCTATGGTTAATGTTAATATTTTATTGGAATTGTTCTGCTGTCAATAGGGAAGTGCATTGTTTTTAATTTTAATATTTTAAACATTTTTGTTAAAAATTTTAATTGAAATTTGTACTGTAGATGCATGGAAACCTGCTAGCCTGTTCAATATTGGCATTTTTATTTTTTCAATTTTTATTGTTTCAGATCAATCTGATTATCAATGGTTAATAAATTTCTCAGTCGAAATTTTCTGTATTTATATGCGGTTTCCTTATTTGTAATTCTGCACATATTGAGAGAAATTTTCCGATCTTGAGATATCACTAGTTACAATATTATATTTAAGATATTTTTCTATACTGTATATTATAAATTTGACTTATATAATGCAATTTTATTAGAATAATAATTATTAATTCTGTGCGAAATATTTTTTTCTCTTTCTTTCCATTACGTGGGGACCTGCGATTGTTCACTGGTTAAGCTAATGAATTGTCACGTGGTTCGATCGCCCCGGTTGCTTGAAGTGCACTCAGCTTCAGATTGATGGGGCTTATCTGGAAAATAAAAGCGGTCGATGCTCAATGCTAACCACATTGTCACCATCATGACCCCCCTGGCCCTCAACGGGTTGTTGCTGGAAAGCTTTGCTTTACAATATGTAGTTGAGAAGTTAACAAGGCACCTTTGTCTCGAGTCTTTCGACATGCTTGATACAAAATGAACTATAATATAATTTATTACAAATAAAATATTCCTAATCTAAGCTCAGCATTTAGGTATTTTATTGGATTTTTAGTTGAATCTAATGCAAATTTAAAGTTTTGAATTTTTTAAATTATTGTTAAAGAGTTTTTCTAAAACTGATTCTTAAAAAAGAAGAAGAAAAAAATACACGACAATTTAAATGCTCTCTAAATACCTTTAATAATGATAATAATAATAATGGCACAGTTAAATCAGAAAGATAAGGACCCTTCCGACTGGTTACGTAACATAACACAGTAATCATTGTTTTAAAGAGTTATTGTGTTGTTATTCGAGAATTCTTGCGTGCTAAGCCTACTTGACTTAGTCCCATTACTTACTCTTTTTCTTTTTACAAATTTATACCATTTATATTTTACTTGTATTATCTTTATGGATATATATATTTCTAGTTATAACATCAAATTGAAATTGCTTTAAGTGACTTTAAAAAGAAGTATCCATTTTCCCACCGTTCGGTCGAAGCCAAGAAAGGGCAAGATTTTAAGTGCACGCTATCTCTGTCACAGATTATTTTTCAGTGGTAGTATCTGCGGCAAGGGTGGTCCAGCAACCCTTTATCACCCAAAAACGCTACAAATTGCCTGCCTTCGAAAAGGAATGATTTTTTTACTAACCGCTAATGGCCATTGGCTTGTTGGAAACAAGATCGAATGCA